AATATCAATCGATGGTAATGGCATGGAAATTTGTGACATTTAGAGAAGTCAAAAAATAAATAAATCCAACTTTTGATAAAACATAAGTTATGTCTGATGAGCAATCAGAACTAAAATCTGTACAAAAGTAATAAAATTACAAAAAGCAAATACAGTAATTTGTACATTCCTTCCTATTTACAATGGTAAAAAAGATATCAAAATATGGGAACACAAGTCCTCCCCGGGACGACAGGACCGGCGCCCGAGGCCCGGGGGGCAGGGGTCCTTCCGATGGTGCAGGGCCCGGCCGAGGGTCGGGGGCGCCGTGCCCACAACACTGCCACGCTCAACAACAACCACCCTCACACTCCATACAAAAGTGACAGTAAAACAGGCGAGGAAACAACACAATTCACCTGGCTGAAACGGCCATTTGATAAAAATCAGCACGTGATACCGAGGGCGGAGCAAATGACCCATGGGCGTCACACACACAGCAAGGTGGGGATGAGGGACGCCCCAGGTGAGTAAACAACTACCATAACATGGCTTGGGGGGGAGAGGGGGATGCTGTGGTGGTCCCGCGCGGGCCGACGATCACATCAACAATCTTTGCCAACAGAGTGTAGCTGTACCAAGGTAGAATCCCTGTGGGGAGCGAGTATTTTTCCCTAACAAATGACAGTGCAGAACATTACATTAATAAAAAGAACAAAACTGACGGCCTGGATGAGGCTATGAGATGCAAGTGATTTAATCCTTGCGTAACTAACATCGTGCATCGAGTGAGCAACACCAACGGTATCTACATTTGTACATAATTATGGTAGTTTTGTTACATTATTGTAAATATTAAAGTTATTACTATCAAAGAGAAGCAATTATCATCTGCAGTCAGAGCCTTCCTTGTACGGGTAAAGTGTATGGCGTAACGACGGGACGTCTGGGAGAGGTGGTCCAGAAGTTTGTCTGGGGCCGAGACTGCTGGCGGGGCCTCCACCTTCTGGTACAGTTCCTCCTGTAGCTGCTATTTGAGCCTCTAATCTCTGAAACATTTCCTCTGGGCACTCTGATCTCGACGGCGCACTCAGGGAGCCGAGGCCGTAGTCCATCTTGGGCAATCCCAGTTGCTCCGCTGCACTATACGACGGTGGCCAGCCGGGGTCATAGGGGCCGAGGGGGAGGGGAATGTTTCCTGCCTGTGGTATCCGAGATTCAAGGTGAGGAGGGCACTCAGTCACCTCAGATATGGCATGTTGGACTGGTTGCTGTGGTTGTTGCTGTACATACTGCTGCTGCTGTTCCTGTTGCGGTAACGGCTGCTGTTGAGTCGGTGGTGGGGGTAATGATGATGGTGGCGATGGTTGTGAGGTTTCAGGAATTAATTTCTCGTGTAAAGGTTCCGGGGGAAGGTCAGGAGGTTTCGGTGCAGGAGGGCCTGGCCCTTGATCTTGTTCGTCAGCTTCTAACTTGCGCGGAGTGTTGGAAGCAACGTAGCCATCTGAAACCCTCGAAAATTTTATTTTGAGGGGGATTTTAGGAATACAGGACTCTTCCTTCGTTGACTCAGAGTCTAGTTTAGGCACCGATAATCGAATTTTTAAGGATGGATTCATCACAGAATCCGAATCACTCCGCTCCTCTTTGTGACCTCCAGCATTATTGGCCTCACTCTTGATATTCTTATTACCACTAGAACTTTCACTCTTCGCTTTCGAAAACCTTATGACTAACTTGGGAGCATTCGTACTGTCTCCTGTGAAGACCTTCACATCGTGCTGGTCATCACAACTACCATCCTTGCCGTCTGCACTGCTTTCGCCAAGGAGGATCTTGCGTTTCTTGGCTTTCTTTTCTCTGTCAGTTCCCTTCACCCCACTCTTCTTTTCCCCTTTATCAAAGTCTGCCATGATCTGTTCTCGAAATTTCATGTTGTCATTCTTGATCTTAACCATCGCATTTTCTTCGGCAATCCGCTTTTTAGGCGGTCGCTGCTTTCCACCAAAATCTTTGGAGTCTGCTGTCACAGTTGTAACTTCACTTCCCTTCTTCCCTAAACTAATACGTAACTTTGGAGGAGGTTTGGCACTTGATACATCTTTTTCGTCTAGATTCTTCGCAGCCTCCTTAGCCGCTCTTGGTCTTTTTCTTATCACATCGCCACCTTCTGTCGTTTCCGAGTTCCTCTTCCCAGAGTCCTCCATCACAGACCAGTCCAAGTGTCTTAATTCCCGGGGCGGTCTCTTTCTTCTGCCTCCACCTCCACCTCCTGCTGGGGTCTCGTCCTGCGTGTACATTTTGTAGTCTTCTCGCGTTGGTATAGAAGGCATGGAAGCAACAGCCTTTGGAATGGTGATGCCAGTTCTTAATTGTGGGGGAGGGTTTGGAGTGCTGTTGATGGGTCCAGATTCCGCCGGCTCGTTTGGCATTTGATCCTGATAGCAATACTGACGAATCAATTCCTTCTTCCTCATTCTTCTTAACGTTGATGTTGTAGACGTTGGAGTAGGAGCTCCCACTGCTTCCTGTGGCGCAGCTGACGTGTTGGTTGCGGAGTATGAGTTAGCGTATGGTCCTTTGATCTTCAGTTTGAGTTGGTTTGTTCTCTCGTCGATTCCAATTTGAGCTGTTGGCACTGTCAGTGACACTCTACTATCGTCTCCTGTACTCTTGGGCAAGACAGACAACTCTGATGTTGGATTTGAATCTCTGACATCACTCAAGTTTGATATTGTAAGCTTGGTTTCCGGAATGCTCGAGGTGAACTCTGAAGTGAACTGTGGGATGTCTTGAATTTTGTCTGGAGATTTCGATGGGCCCTCTAGCATGTCGTCGCCGCGAGGTGGACTAGGAGAGTGCGTGCTTCGCCGGAGCTGAGAGTTTTGCGTGTTCCGGTAATCCTCAAGTATTTTGGCAACTTTGTCACCATCATCTGCCGACTTGGTAACCCCCTTCTCTTTCTGGGATGACTTTGATTTTTTGCTTGACTTTTTAGTTTGTTCTTTGTGCTCTATAGTGTAAGTTGGTGTTAGCGATTGTTGAGGTGTTGTGTCAACGGATTGTCGCTTTTCTCTGGATTTTCGCAAGTCATCCAGGGTGTTGTTGGCTGGGCCATCATCAAATTCGTTGTCAAAATCAAAGTCGTACACTGTTCCAACCAGCTCTTTAGGCACTGATATAGAGTTAAATCTTGGGCTTTGACCACGACCTTTCCCTTTGCCAGTGCTCCTGCCTCGCCCCTTGTTGTATGCAGCTCTGTTGACTTTGCTACCCTTCTTCTCTCTTGCCTTTGTGCTTTCCTTGTTCACCCATCTCGGAGATGATGCCTGGGATCTTGGAGACTTCTTCTCAGGTGCTTTCTGTGACTTGGCTTCTTGCATGTATATTGGCACGCGTTTTGGTGCAGGCTCTTCCTTTTGATGAAGAACACTGTCATCTACGGTAATAGTTTCAATCTTTGAATCAGGTACTTCAACAGCAATTTGCAATGGCGATTCCTTCTGACTGGGTACAGTGGCGGGGCTTGTCACTGACAGCAGTGGAGATTTGCTTACGGAGGCGGAGGTTAGACTAGTAGTGGTTGTAGTAGTTGTAGTTGTAGTTATCGTTTTAGCCACAGACACAACTGAGTTTGAAGCAGGAGGGACAATGCTCATCTTGCTACTAACTACAGAATTTCTCGCCGGAGATACCAGGGGTCTGCTGACCTTTGTAATGGTCACACTGCTCTCTGTTGAGGTTGTGGTGGAGGTCACAGGAGCTTGAGAGGGCTTCGTGGACTGTGGCGACACTACAGGCACCTGGGATGGTTTACTAGACTGCTGTGATACTACAGGAGCTTGTGAAGGTTTGCTGGACTGCTGTGATAGGACAGGTGCCTGTGATGATTTACTGGACTGAGGTGATACTTGAGGCTGGCTTGCTGTTCTGCTGACTGATGACGATAATACTGAATGACTTGTAGAAGAAATGTCTGTTGGGGCTACGGTTGTTGCCTGTGGTTGAGATGCTGTAGAAACTGGTACATTTTCATTTTTATTATATATACTTGAAGGAGAAGGTTGTGGTTGTGCAATTTTGTTGTTTGGTAATACTGGAGAAGGTTGTTCTTCTCTTGTATGTTGTCCTCTACTGGTTGTAGGAGAAACAAGGCCTGGGACTACCTTGTTGCTCTGAGCCAAAGGAGATGAGAGAGGTGGTGCAGTCATCACACTACCTGGAGAAGATAGTGGCTTCGTAGTTTTACTGCTTGATGTAGCCTGTCTGCTACCTGCCTTGGCATCTGTTGTAGGCAGTTCTGGAGTTGGAGGTCTGTCATCATGTGCTGACAATCTGGACATTTCCTGAGAACACATACTTGTTTTATCTGGAATCTGATTTTCTCGAGCAGGTGGTGGATACTGCTGTTGACTTAAAGCAGCTAACTCATTGGCACTACGCTGCTGCAAGTATGCTGGTATTAGAGTTGTATTGAAGATTGGTGGAGGGATACCAGCTTCTACCATTTGACGAAACTGACTGGTGAACATAGTACGTGCATTCAAAAAATCAAAGGCGCTGAACAGCGGATGTTGGGCATCAGCAGAGTACATGGCTCGTTGCAGATCAAGCATTGACATGGAGGAGGGCAGGCCCAACTCGAGGCCAGGCATGGGAAGGTGAGGCAAGTGCGGTCCGGTCCCTGGATCCACTTTATGCTCAGGTTGAGGAGGACTCTTCTCCCACTGCCCTCGCCACTGCTCTCTGAAGTTAGCACCTGGGGAGGATGAACTCTTGGGAGGTAAAGCCTCAGCAGACGATGCTTGAGGAGAGGCTACTGAGGATTCTGGCACAGGGGGAACTGAGAAAGAGTTGGCCTGGGAGTGAGGAGGAGAGGAGGCTGTGACTTCATTCTGTCTCTCTGGGGGAGCTACAGGTTTGGTGGGCTCAGCTTGTGCTTCTGGCTGTACTTCAGGTTGTGCTTCAGCCTGTCTCTTCATCTCGCCTATAACATCCTCCAAGTTCTTTCTTCTAGTGGGGGAGACAAACTTGTTCAGCACTTGTCTCCCTTCCACTGGGGTTGGCAACACCACCGGGGTCTTGCTAGTCACATCTACAGTTTCCAAACGTGACTCATCACTCATAAAATTATTTACAACACTATTTACATTTACCATGTCATTACACACTGCATGAACTCTATCTACAGGTTCAGGTGTAGTTATTGCACTCTTATATCCACTGTCCTTCGGCTGTTCGACTCGCTTTTCTCCTACAACATTTATGGAGTCTTCATCACTATCACCAATTCGGACTTTCTTGGGTTCTGGTTCAGTATCTGATGTTTCAACAATATCTTCTAATCTTTCAACTTCCAAATCTACACCTACGAATCCAAACACCCCTGACTTCTGTTGCTGTTCTGTTCTCTTCACGGTTTCTACTGGTTTTGGAATTGCATCCTTCTCTCTTTCGTCTCCTGGGGGTTCGGCTGCCACTCTCGAGTCCTCCTCTCTGACTGGTGGTTCTGTCGGTTTCTGCGGGCGATCTTTTTCCAGAATAGGTTCAATCTTCTCAGAAGCTTTCTCTCTCTGTCCAAAGATATCCACAGGTTCTCTCGAGGGTTCAGCAATTTCATTTAGCAGATCTGGCTTGCTAAATGGTACGGGCATGGTTTCTTCAGCCGTCTCTATCTTGTCTTTTGGAGGTTCCTTTTCTTTGTCATATTTTTCTTCAAGAGAATCGCTATCTCGGATTGGTTCTCTTCTTTCTTTAGGCGATTCTCCTCTCTCTCTGCTGGTGTCTCTCCCTCTTAGGATGTCTTTCTTTTCTCTTGGTGATATGACTTTCTCGGGGGCCATTCCTTCTTTTTCTCTCGGAGATAAAACTTTTTCTCTTGGAGACAAAACCTTTTCTCTTGGAGACAAAACCTTCTCTCTTGGAGACAAAACCTTCTCTCTTGGAGACAAAACCTTCTCTCTTGGAGACAAAACCTTCTCTCTTGGAGACAAAACTTTCTCTCTTGGAGACAAAACCTTTTTCCTTTGGAACAGACCCTTTTCTCTGGGAGATACCACTTTCTCTCTGGGTGACAAAACCTTTTCTCTTGGAGACAAAACCTTTTCTCTTGGAGACAAAACCTTCTCTCTCGGAGATAAAACTTTTTCTCTTGGAGACAAAACCTTTTCTCTTGGAGACAAAACCTTTTCTCTTGGAGACAAAACCTTCTCTCTTGGAGACAAAACCTTCTCTCTTGGAGACAAAACCTTCTCTCTTGGAGACAAAACTTTCTCTCTTGGAGACAAAACCTTCTCTCTTGGAGACAAAACCTTCTCTCTTGGAGACAAAACTTTCTCTCTTGGAGACAAAACTTTCTCTCTTGGAGACAAAACCTTTTTCCTTTGGAACAGACCCTTTTCTCTGGGAGATACCACTTTCTCTCTGGGTGTCTCTTGGAGACAAAACCTTCTCTCTTGGAGACAAAACTTTCTCTCTTGGAGACAAAACTTTCTCTCTTGGAGACAAAACCTTTTTCCTTTGGAACAGACCCTTTTCTCTGGGAGATACCACTTTCTCTCTGGGTGACAAAACCTTTTCTCTCTGAGACTCTTTCTTGTCTTTATGAACCTCCTTTTCTATTATAATCTCATTACTCTCTCCTTGTAAGTTCGTTATTTCAGGTAACAAGTCTTTCTCTGCAGCCTTAACTTCCTTATCTCCAGGCAAAACAAACTGCTTCTCCTTTCCACCAACTGCTCTCTCTCGCAGTGAATCATTCTTTGCCTTTTGTTGTAATGATTCCTTCCCTTGGAGGACTTCCTTCTTTTCCAGAACTGGGTCTTTCTTTTCTCTCAGGAATTCTTTTCTGTCCCTTTGCACTACCTCCTTTTCCTTCAGTGTCTCCTCCTTTTCTGTGGTACTTCCTTTGGAGGAGCCAGATTTCTCTTGGCTGCTTCTCTCTGGGGTCTTTTTGATGGATTTGAGTGTCTCCTCAGGCTGTACCTCTCTTCTGGTATGGAGTTTATGACTGGTGCCAATGTCTTGGGAGAGTGGAACCGGTTCTCTCTCTCTTCCTCTTCTTCGTCCTCTCGATGGTGCATGAGAGTTACTTCTGAAGTCTTGCACGGAGACATCACCAGGAGGAGTTCTCGGTCGGCACTGAGGCCCACTTTGACGTAATCTTGACTCCAATCCAGTCTCTCTTCTGGTGGGTGATTTAGAACGATGGTCTTCCGTCTCATTGGACATTCCGGATTCACTTCTCTCAGTAATCGGCGGCTGAAACCCATGTTCAGGCCGCCCTTCGGAAGTTTTAAGCTTCTTGTCAGGGGCCTTCCGGAGGGTTCCAGCTGCCGGTTCCTGGTTCTCATCCTCCCGCTCATCACTGTCAGAGGTGAGCTGTAAGTCGCCTGATATGCTTGAGGGGCCTCGAAAGAGCTGGTTTTTGGAGAGATCTTGAAACTCATCACCAGTTGATTTAGAAGTGTGAGATAGGAGGGATTTTCTTCCTGGTGTGGCTGGTCTTCCTTCCTCGTTTTCATCTGAGGAGCTTTGGTATGGTCGTATATAGATGTCGCCACGAAAAAACTGCTTGTTTGTCTTTGCTTCCTTGTATACCTCAGTAAGAGGATCAGTTTTATCCTTTGCAGCTTTGTCTTTTTTGATGACACTCTCTTCATCACTGTCAGAAAATATTGACTTGGAGAACTTCAAATCAGAATCACTTTCTGAGCCCGAGTCTGAAACAGTAGCTGATGACACAGGCTTAGCTGCACGAGGAGATTTGGATTTTGATCTTGGCCCAGACTTCCCTTCCATCCGTGAGATTCTTTTGTTTTTAGTAGGTGACACAACAGGAGCTGCTGTTGGCAACTCAGACTCCTCTGTGCCACTGGATGCAGCTGCTCCTGCCTTACTGTTGCCACCCTTCAGATTTTCAGCAGCCTTCTTAGCAGCCTGTCGCATGGGGACGTACGGCAGAATTTCCGGTGGCTCAAAGAGGTTCTTCTTGGGAACATCAGAAGATTCGCTCTTTTCTTCACTGACTTTCTCATTCTTTTCCTTTGTGCTCTTGCTCTTCCTGCCCTTTGTGGGTGTTATTCTCTTCTCCTCCAGGACCTTCTTCTCTTCAATGATCTCAGGCTCATCTGGATCTTCCTTGATCTCCTTGATTGGTTTTCCTACTGACTTCTTGATGTCTGCCACATCTGCAGTTGCTGGTCCAGCCATACCTGCAGTTGCACTGGCTGAAGTACTTGTTGTATTCTGACTAGTGATGAGTTCTGATGCTTTCTTTGCAGCTTTCCTCTGTGGCACAAACATATGACCTGGTGTTGCTTCAACTTCGCTCTTCGTAACTCCATGTTCCACTTCAATTTCTTCTGACTGTCTTGTCTCACTTTTACACCTTTCAGCACTGGCTGTTTTTCTTACTGTTCTACCAACCTTATCTGTTTTCTTTTTGTTCATTCTCTCTGCCTTTGCCTCAATCTTTGGAGTAAACTCTTTCTTAGCTGCCTTTGTCTTCAGTGTTGCATGGTTTTGAGAATCTGTGGTACTTTCCTTGTTTTCATCATCACTGTTCACATCACTATCACTTATTCTACTTTCATTCTTCTTATCATGTTTCTTTGGTCCTTTACTTAAAGCCGTATCCCGACCATTGTCAGAACTAGTGTCTGTCCGGTCACTTACACCAAAGATATCACTGCTCATCACTGCCGGCTCATTACTCTTTTCACTGTTGTTGTCCTCGTCACTGGACAGCTTGTAGGTGGGAGGACCCAGTTCATCATCATCACTAAGCTCCAACTTTGGAACTTCAGATACTGGTGAACTTACACTGGTAGTCTGGCTACTCAGAATATTTTTCGACCACTTGCCCCGACGACTGGGCTTTTTCTCCTTAGCTGTAGCCACCGTCACCACTGGCTCGTCCTCACTACTTACACTCGAGTCTAACTTAGATGGCGTCACCTTCCTTTTGTTTCTTCTTTTGCTGGGTTGTGGTTTGGGTTTACTAACTGGTTCTGCCTCATCCTCAGAAGTATCTACACTGGGACGCTCCCTCACTGTCTTTGAAGATGAGGCATTAGTTTCTGTTTTAACAGTTTTCTCAGTTATCAAATTATCAAACTTCTTAACATCTTCCTCACTCGAGCCGTGCGCCATCCGGTCCCTGAACGACCTGCTCTTAATGGCACTAGCTCTCCCCGTCCCTCTTCTCCTACCCACCCTTCCCCTCGCAGGTCTGCTAATGGGCTCAAGTTTTGGCTTTTCTTTGTCACTACTGTCAAGGAATGGTAACTTGCTCTTACTTGATGGGGGCTCCTGCTTGACCGAGTGATTTTCCTTGTTGGTTTCCTCTTCACTACTTGTGTAAACAGAATAACGAGTATTACCTTTCGTAGGCAGAGACCATTTCGTGGAAGCGAGAGAAGAATCGGAGTCAGAAGTACTATACAGAGAGCTAGAGCGTGACCGGCGCTGTTCTGCCCCGTTGACATACATCTTCTTATACGGATTGTCTGTCTTGTCTTTTGATGTTCTAATAAGGCCATTGACATCCTTCTTCTCTGGTTCCTTCTTGGGTTTCACCTTCTCTGTGAGAGTGCCAGCTATGCAAGCTACAATCTTCTCGAAATGCTTTTGCGTGTGGCTAGGAGCACTAGGGTGGGAATACAACTGGTCATACACAGAAGGACCATGATTGGCCTGCATCACCGCATCTACCTCCTGCTGCGTCAAGTTCATGCCGCTGCTGGCCAGAATGGATGCCTGCTTTGAGAAGGTCTGCTCTCGCGTTTTAAGGAAGGATCTGGAGAGTCTCTCACGACGACTGACCATGTAGCAGAGGTTACGAACCTGTCGGGAGAAAAGATGCGAGTGTTGTAGTACCAACGTCTTGAACAAAGAAACGGCAGCAAATAAAAGCTTTTACTGAATTTGAGGAACAGGGATATTGGGTGAGTGATCCCTTGGTAACAAAACATTTGTGGAGTCAATCGAATTGCAACCAAAATTCTAAAAAAGTGGACAGTGCTACGACCCAGTGCCAATGGGTTAATACAGCCACACGTCCTTTTCAAGAAAATTCAATCTACGTACCCTCTCCAAGTACTGCCTTAATTGCACGAACATCTTCATGCGCTCAATATCATGCTCCTGCTGATGGGAAAGAAGGTCTATTTCTTCACTGCGTGGCGTCAAGAGTGGCTTGTTGAAACCAGCCTGAAAACAGAGTTCAGATTAGACACGAAAACACTCACTCTGGCAAACTATTTCAAAATAATCCATAAACATTTGTGCTGAACAAATGTATATTTTTCTGTCTCTTTATATAATTGTTTCTTAATTTGTATTGGTCTTACTATATGTGTATGTATGTGCATTTGTATGAACATGTGTATCTATCTTTCTACAAGTCTTTTTATGTTTGCATGTGTGTTTGTATCACTGCTTGTGTGAGTTGGAATACAAGAGTCTATGTTGATAATATCACAAAAATAAAGGAAATGTTATTCAAGTTGTACTTTCATATACCTAAGCAAATATGTACTATATAAATATACATTTCAACATTAACATTTCTACCTGAAAACCATCTAACTAAGCAATGCTAGCATCAAACTATAACAAACCAATAAATGATATTACTGCAAAGACTAACTTCCTTAAAAAAAGACCCTCTGACAATTTGTAACCAATAGTGGACTTCTCCATCTCTTAGTAAGACAATGCGTCCCAACAAAATCCCCATTACCCGTCTCTTTAGCTTCCAGTAGTTAAAAATAGTCTCGGTTGTCTCAAAGTCAATGTCCAAGAAGTTTGAAGTTTCCAGGACATCGACATGCTTGTAGAATTCAGACTCGATCTGCCGCAGTTTGGCAGCTCGAGCCTGGTTCTTCTGCTCCGAGGTCCAGTCCTTCTTCTTCTTCGGGGCTCCCTCTTCGGCGTCACTCTCTGCTTCGCATCCTACCTTCTTGCTTGCAACACTATGCTTCTCACAATAAGACTGAAATTTTTCAGAAGTACGGTCAGATAAAAGGTAAGGACTTCAATTTTACTTAACCTTCAGCTGACAGTTTAACTGACAGCCCATACACTAGGACATACTGTAATATATTATACTTGGATAGGCAAACATCCTTTCCAGTATATATTAAATACTGTTATTCTGCACCTATATTACCTTGGGCTCAATCCAGTCACACTTCAATTCTTTCCTCTCATTCACTCTAACTCTCATATGCTAATACTTACCATACTCACACTTACTCTACCTCACCAACACTTTCACACTCACTTGCACTTCCTCATTCATTCACACTCTCACACTTGCTCAGCTTTGATTAAAACCGTCATTCATGTTAACAATCATTCTCAGACATACAGAAAGGGAGAAACAGGTTCACAGCATGTATTCTATAAATAACACTATAACTTGTGTACTAAAAGCAATTCTATATGCACACTAGAATTTGGCAAGAGTGAATTTCCAACTTAAGTGCAGGAGGCCAAACAAATGAGTAGGTTGTAAAGGGTCCATAGAAATTATCCACTTTAGACTCTTCAGAGCAAATTTCTCTTAAATTACTTTAGACATTCCTCAAGATTATGCAAACAAAGCTCAATGCTTTGGCAACTCTAAGACTATCACAGCATTTATCTAAAAATTAATGACTTTAATCTTCTTTATAAGTGTAAGATGAATATTTTCCATTCCAGAAATACTTTCCTACAAACCATTACATTTTGCAAACAATTACTTTTTATAAACAATGACTGAAAAAAACTGAAAGTACTTACCCTCAATTTCACACCATCATCTGCACTTTCATCTTCAATGATTGCTTTCATCTCTAAGCCATGCTTGAAAGCGCAGGTCACATGATAGGCAGTTTTGCAGGTTTTAACCGAGCACTGGATGCATGCACCTCGCCGTTCCCGACACAAGACACAGACCAGTGCCCATCGACTTTGCTGTAGGTTAGAATAGGGATGGTTGAAGAAACAGAAACACAGGCTTACTAAAATATGAAAACAATCAAAGAAAGTATACAAGCATTATCATCATCCCTAATTTCCAAAGAAAAGTTTCATCACCAAAGGCAACCACTTTTAAATCTCTTTCTTGCATATGTCAGTGTTAAATGCTTCTGTATATCATTAAAGGCAAAAAATAACTGAGTGATAGGCAAGTGATAATTGTGTAAACAAGAAGGATGATATCAATTAAGACCCAGGTAATTATATAACTATTTGTTTGTCTGTATCAGTCTATATATACACTTGCAACCATTGAGAGGAATCACAGATATTTAGAGTTACTAAGACATATATCTTTATTATTTAGAGGTGGGAATTATTTCCATAAGAGTTATATAGTATTTTAATTTCCAAAAAAAAATCATGCTACTTTCATAAAAATAATGTTCAACATCCTTTAATATCAATACTGCATACTTTGCAAACTTTGAGAGGGGAAAAAAAAACTTCTACTGCTTTCGTTCTTATAGAAAAGAGACTAAAATAAAAGATGCTATTTTAAAGAGAATTTACAAAATTAACCTCACAAAATGCAAAGCAATAACACCAGTATAAATTTTATACAAAATGTGTAGGTAAAACTTGTTATATCAGTGAGATCGACACTTTCTTTTAGCCGACAAATTCACTACTAATTCCAAAGTTAAACTGGAAAGCTCAATGCATAAAAATTACAATCACTGAATAAGATGTCAAATAAAAAGAGACTACACTCCCAAAGTCTCAATCACCAGATATAAACACCATCAAGGAACTCCCGTAACATGGAGGAAATCCTCATTAATCTTTCCAGCTTTCTTATCTAGGAAAAGTGTTCATACATGTACAAATACATAGATACTCACAGGGATGTTTGGAATCTTTGTAATAGGCTCCATTCGTTCGACCGAGCCAATGGACACCTCGGGAATCCAAAGGGCACAAGCAACGTGGGCCCACTTCTGACCTGATTTTGTTGACTTCATGGCACCACCTGAGGAGATAAAATTGAAATTGTTAAACTGCTGTTAACTCTCTGGTGTGAAGGGTGGAAAAAAGAAATGGGAAAGACATTGAGAAAGCAATCACAACATGCAAGTAGGAAGTTGAACAGGAATGAAAGTAGTTTTGTTACTTATGTTTATCTCTAAAATGTAATCACCTATTTGAAAGCACTTTTACAAAGACATTGTATAGTACTATGCATTTCTGCTCACACTCTATACCTACATTGTTGACTAAATGCTTGTTCTGCAAATCAACCCAGTTCCAGTCTAAGAACATGTTGAAGCATCAGCAAGGAATCAGTTTTACTGATCTTTCACCTTTTTTTTTCTTTGTCTTCAAATCTAAGGGATATCATTTGCAAAGACAGCAAAAACACCAAAAAGTCATTGTATTTGTTAACATCTGTGGTGTTAAGATTGAGCTTGACAATATCTCATGACAGGGTCAGAGCTGGCCTGACTAGGTCAAGCAAGCTAGTGATGCCATGCAGTTGGGTTTAAGATTGAAGATAAAAAAAACAGGAAGATCAAGCCTGACTTGAGCCTAATGCTAGATATGTTTTTCCAAAAAGAAGGCTTTAGTTCATCCCTTTACTAAGAGCAATAGAAAATAGAACCTCCAGATATATAGAGCACACAAACATAATACAA